TTGCATTATGTGAACGAAATTACGTTTCCTTGTGCTTGCGATCAAGTGATTTTGATGAAAATGTCATTTAATATTTTTAATAGTTTTTTAGTTTAAAGCGTTTATTTGTTATAGTGCAGCCAGACGGAATCCACACAAGTGGTCGCTCGGGAACCGGAAACTGAGCCAGAAGATCTTGACGAATTGGAGCTTCGTTTGGCGGCATTGAAATCTGCGATTGTAAAGGGGAACGCGGAAGCGGTTAATGGTGCGTTGATAATGCCATGCATAATACCATTTCAGTGCTTTGCCATTTGAGTGATTTTTAAACGGGCACTAAGATAGGCCTTAGTAATAAAGAGTCAGTTTATTTACCGTTTTTTGATATTTTCTTTGTTTACGGGTTACACCTGTAATCGTGCTGATTGTGAGCCACCTATCAAGCGAGTCAATGCGAATTGCAACTGTGATGCTACCGATAAATGTCATTATGTTACGTCTGGTTGCCAGGAGTGACAGATCATTATTAACGATGATTTATCATCAGTGTTTAGAAAAGACAGAATATTCCGTGCAGGTGTTGTTTTTTTATACTGAAAAGATAGGATAAACACAATTTTATTGTACACAGCGCAGTACGGTAGTCTGTCTGATGATTGATGATAGTAATATATTTCCCAATATTCACGTTGGCTTTATGGTTAAGACTATATGTAAATTTCTGAAACAATTCACTAGGTGAACGTACTTAAATATGATGTGGTTTTCTTTAAAAATTGATTAATAAGCATTCCTCTGATAGGTTCCAACTGGTTCTTTTTCGATGACGAGTTTTTCAAAAAAAATTTAAATAGCATCCATCAGCAATCAACTTTTCTTCTATCCTTAATAAATCTTCATGGAACACTTTATAAACTTGTCCTGCTAAACCATCTTTCATCTTACCCCAATACATTTCACAAGCTTCAAAGGATACGAAGCCATCTGTTCTGAAGTTGATGAAGCAAACTTCCTCAGTTCTCTACGTGACGTCTTGCGAAACATTCAACTGTTACTGAAAGAAATTTCACTCTTTTCTCGTCGAAATCACGAGAGTCGATTCTGTTGACTCATAAAGCTAAATTAAATCAATTAATGTTCGTGCGGCGCTGTAAAACGCAGATAATTTAAACAGACGTAACTTGGTATTATGTCCCACTTACTCCTAGCTAAAACTAATGTATTTCTGATGACACATTTGAATGTTTATTTAGCTTATGTAATCGTATAAACAGTAAACGAATAATAGTAATATTATTAATACAAAAATGCAGTAATGAATTTCTTTAAGAAGGTATAAAACATTAATTTAATCATATGTAATTACGACAGCGAAATCTGAAGCGAGTTACATCGCTGGTAATCAAACCCAATAGTTTCAACTGTTTACCTCATAGTTTACTCGCTGTGTGCCATTAAGATGACTGATGTTAATAAAAAATTTGACATTATTCGATTATTTGTATCTAATAATGAACATAAATCTATATTAATTCTGCTT